CTGACTGGGCTATTTACCTTTGGGTTTAGTAAGATCACAACTGTATACTGTGCCCTTCTTATCATATAGCAGCTCTACTTTGTACTCACTTTTGATCTGTGGCTGCACATGGGTCCCCCAAAGAACTGCCAGCTATTTACTATACAGGCAAGGGATGGAGGGAGCTAAGATGTTGCAGCCACCAACACTGAAAACTAGTCATCCTTCTTTAAAGGTAATGTTAAAACTTCACTTCCTGTAGCTTATGATTAAGCACAATAGTTGAATAAAACATAAGATCTTTCTTCTGACAGTACCAGCATTCAGAGAAAAGTACACGCTTGATGAACTGCTGCAGACTTAGTCCAGTCCCTTCTAAGAGTGGATAATTTCATTAAGTGATTATTGCTTACATACCCAATTAAGAAGAGAGAAAACATGGACCAAGATGCTTTAAGGGCTTTATAGGTGAAAAAGAAGATCTTGGAGTTAATATGACATATGACGAGCAATTAATCTCACTGGGCCCTGACTACAATTCTAGCTTATGAGAGCTTAAAAAAAATAAAGCCAATCTAAGTAGCAACATTTTCTGTAGGCGCTATATTTTGTCAAAGTGAAGCAAACTAATCACAACCATTGGCCAATAATTTTGAAATATAAACCACCTTCTCTAAAGCAAATGTAGGAATTTAAAACGATGCAGTAAATTTAGCCCAGAACACCCTTCTCAAGATTTTAAAACAGCACCCCCTGAACCATAACCCAAGAGCTGGGTGACCAATCAAGACACGATCAATAATAGCTCCTTTTCCAGTAACTTGTAAAAATAATCCAGACACCCAAGCTTTAGTAAAAACTGGGTAATAATAAGTCTGGTAGAACCAATTAATTTTTTTTTTTTTAAAAAGGAAAAGAAGGTAACATTAGCATTATTCATGTCCTGAAATTATATCAGGTGATCTGCTCAAAAGGGTATCTTAAAAGTCTATCAAATTCAGCAATACTTGCTAATTTCTCTAGATGAGTAAAGGAAAATGATATTAATTTTTTCCCCTACTCTGTGCAATCACAACTCCCTTTGTCTCTTCCTTGGAATTTTATATCTCATAGTATTCCTGTCTTTCCAAGTGACTAATATGACCCCTAACCAAATGCCTAGGAAACTGTTATTTACATTTATTCAGAATCTTTACATAGCAGCTTTACAAAGGACCAATTTAATGAGGCTATTATCTGCCAATTCAGATATAAAAATATTTTTTCTAATTTATTTAGATACTTGCTCAAAACAGCGCACACCAGTATCTATCTGCAGAAAACCATAGATAATTTTAGCCCATGTTTCCTGCACTAAATCTATCTGCTGTGTTCTCACTTTATAGTAGCAAATTATGAAAAGAAAGGGCACAAGAACCATAACAGAACTATTGCAATTCATAAAGAAAACTATGTCCTATGATGATAAGTATCGCAGCAAGGTATATAATTAAGAGTGGCTATAACAACAACATATAAATTAGATAATCATGGATTAAGCAATCCCTTGGGGGGTTCTCTCTTGCCCTAGAAAACATGTAACAAGCTCCTTAGATAGAAGGCAATAGCTATTAAGTATTTGAGGGAGAAATATGACTATAAAGAAAAACAGAACAAAACAAAAGAACACACAGTAAGAGAAAAATCTTAGTTTACATTCTAAAGACAGCTCTCATTTTTGGTATTTTATTTTAATATACTTACTGGTACAGTTTTCACCCATTAAATCTGCTGACATCTGTTGGCTAAAGAGCACATGTCAGATTATCGTGAAGTGCAATATCAAATAAACACTAGCTGCTTCTTAAGGTGACAGTAGGGAGATACAAAACACTGCAGCTATTACCAGAAACGTAATTTTTCTAGTTGTTGTTTCTTACATCAATTTAATAATCCCAGGTGTCCTGGGCACCAGACATATAATAATCTTCATAAATCCTAATTCACAGCCATACCATCTGTCAAAAATATTTTTTATGTCTCCTAATAGATATGCTACATAATTGCTCTCACAGTAGGACAAAAATACATGGTTGCACTAATTTGCTTTACCAGTGGAATAGCTCATTATCAAAAATAACCCCACCACATTACTAGGGTTTCTAGCACTCTTCATATATCAAAACTAATCCTTCCATTCTGTTATTTTCTATAACCTTAAATTCCCAGTGAAAGCAGATCAAGACTGAATTATCTGGAAATTGTACTATAATAATGGAAAACTCACAAGCATGAAAAAATACAAACGTAATATCTCTTGCTATTATGATGGTGTTGCAGTTAAAATTAGAAGCTTTGTATTTCAGTGTCACAAAGAGACTAATTTAAGTTCTTGGCCCTGCAGAGCGCTAAGCATTTTGGCCCCAATCCAGAAAAGCACTTAAATGTGTGTATGACTTTTAGTTCATGAGCCTGAAGCAACTTCAGCGGGATCGTACATGCTTGATTAGGCCCAGAGCACTCATTACCCTGCTGGACAACGCATCTCCCTCGGCCTGACTCAGCATTGGGAGATGACCCTCCCAGACCTCCATCTGTACTCATGGAGATGGAGAAGATACTCCACGTGGGACTGTTCAAAGCAGGAGCTTCTGTTCCCACTCTGCGGAAGATGAAACGTTTGGACTAAAGCTGGCCTTTGAGAACACCCTTCCTCAACAAGTTCATAAATATCTGCGGTTCTGTTCCTCTAACATGCATGCAATATCAAAACCTCTTAAAATAATGCAGGCTGCAGGTATTGCAGTTGTTATGAGAGGTTCTGTTACAAGTTGCCAGTTGCAGCAAGATGATCTTGGTGTAAGCTTTTATTTGTGCATTAGTTTAAACAAGTTGTGCAACTTTAGACAGGAATAAGTACCTGAGAATTCAGTAATTGTACAGAAAACAAATCCAATAGTACCTAAGTAAATGGGAAATTCCAAAGATGGTGACAGTTACCAAAAAAATACTCCAGAAGATACTTCAAAAAATCATACTCAACCTCATTTCCCTTTTGAATGAGGAAGTGACCCATGAACAAAGTATTACTTCATTCTTCTTTAAATCACACTTCTAAAAGCACTTTCCATGTTTCACAAAGTCTACATCTACTAAATTGTAAAATAGATTATATTTTAAAATAAAAGCAACTTTCCAGCAATTGAAAGACACAGCTGAAAAGCTAAACACTCTTCTGTTAAACTCTGCATGACAAATATCTGATACTACTTTGCAGTCTAAGAGGTATCTTTTAACATACTGTACTATGTTTATGAAGTATTCTTGTTTTAATGCTAAGTTTATTATTTCAATTAATGTTCTATTTCTCAATTACATATGAATATATAATAAAATGCTTTTTTGCTACATTGGTAGATATCTCCCACAATTTTATAAAAACATACTTACTACTGCAAATAGGAATATTGCTTCCCTAATGGCCAGAATTATCCATTTCATTTCGATGATCCTCAGCTACTCTATTAAATTTGAGAAATGGAGAACTCCTTTGAGTATATGTGAAGTCCAAACACCCAAATCCAGAGACTGGAATTAATAACTTAGATACTACCAAATGCTGTATCTGCTGTATCTTAATTTAATTGATGTTGACACAAGCCAGTTCATGCAAGTATTTTTGTGACATACTAAGTAAGTCTTTTCCTATAAAGATTAAAATAAATCGCTGTTTTATTTTCACTGGAATATCTGCTATTTTATTTTGAAAACTTTGCTTCTTTCCTCTAACTCATGAACACTTAAAATCTACACAAGTTCCTATTTTACTGAAATTCCACAGAATTGAACAAACCACTGACACTACAGTAACTGGCAGCTCACAATACCTAGCGAGAACATCCCATTAAGGGAAGCTATACCTGTGCAGTAGGTAACCACAACACGAATGCATTATACTGCCTCAAAATTGCAGGACTTCGTTTGCAAAACGCCTTGGCTCAGATGTGCATGGATCCAGAAGTCAGACTAAAATTTTGCAATTAATTGTAACTAATTCATACTGCCATGTTACCAGAAGGCAAACCACTCATTACTTATGATGAATTAGAGATTTCTGTAGCAGACACAGTTTTTAATTTGAAATTAAAAAGGGAGACAGATCACACACATGTTGATCACTCTTAAAGATGCAACATTATCACACACACCTCTGGTATACCAGGGGACTTAGCAATAGTAAGTACTAACATGGCATTGAGAAGAGAGAGACAGAGACCTAGTTAATTCTAAGGCTAGATATGAGAGAGAGAGGAAATACAGGTTAAGCAAAAAAAAAATAAATCCACCACAAAAGCACTAAAAGTCCAAGCAAAATGTCTCACAGTTATCTTAAAAATATCTAAAACTATATGGCAATGGAAAACAGACTCATACTCATTGCAAAACCATTTTCAGAGGAGGTGGAGAGGAAAATATGTGTACATCATATGCAGAAATATTCTGAATAGCCCTCTTTGGTATACATGGATTAAATATTAAATAAACCAGATGAAGAAAAAGAAGTCCAGATTTACAGCCACACAGTACTGAAACAGAAAGCAAACACACAATAAAGACAGTCTATTATACTCACACATTTACAACGTTACCTATAATAGTAGCTGTGGAAATAAATTACTTATGTAAACGTTTGACATTTTCCATCACTACTCACCACGCTAATGCTTCTATGCAATTCATTAACATTCTAGCTACAGTTTCATGCTTGCATGTCTCAAGTATAAAAAAAAGATACTCAGCAATACCACACAGCCCAGCCTTCTTACCATTTCTTTTTCAAATCAGTATTGGTGGCATTGCTAATATTGCCATCTAATTACTAGCATTGCTTCTTTTATGATAAGTGACAAGGAAGGCTGAGTAAGCAGTCAGTCTACGGAAGATGTGAATGCATTGAAACCTTCTCCTGCAGGACATTCATGCTTTTTAAATGAGCTGCTGTGGAAGTTTCATCATGTGTGTGTAAGGAAATAGTCTCCTACCTGTGGAGGTTGGTTGTACATCGGTCTGGTCTCCGGAAATGAAGTTTTGTCCTTTGACTCTGTACTTTGATCATCAATTGTGTCACCTAACAAAGTAAAAAAAAAACAACTATTTAATCACTGAAATCCTTCATACTTTATACAGAATAAGAAAAACTCTTGAGTCTAAAACCAAATTATACAGTTCCCTGGGAAAGGGGGAACTCTGTGGGTACATGTGTATTTTACAATTTTGAACACAAGGAAAAACACTGAGAAGTGGTCTGCAAAACCCAGGAATAAATCTGTGTGAATTAGTTAAAGGGAAAAATCCAGAAGGAAAAAAAAAAAAGAGAGAAAGAAAAAAAGCAGAGTCCCTAATTTTGCACACTTTAGGACCATTAAGTTCTAATAATGGCAAAGTGTCAAACAAAGGAGACATAGCAGTGCAAAAGCGATACCAGGTGCGCACATCCATCACGTCCCAGTCCCACGTCAGGCTAGGAGGACATGTGCACTGTTACTCTGTCCTCATTTGTAACCTCGTTTCCACACAGAGGATATCTGTGCATGAGTGCTGAAAGAGAGATGCAACGTACTGAGGGACACTGCCTGGGTTTGACCATACCGGGACAATGACTACTTGGCAGGCCGGGCGCTAACCTCCTCCCATTGCATAGACATGGCTACCTCTGCCCAAGATTTTATGGAGACATAACTCCATTGATCCCAAAAGCTGCAGCTGCTACCAACCTAAGATGGGCAGATCACAGCAATAAGCTAGAGACAGAGTATTTATATTGGTTTTAAAGACAGAAGGTACATTATTAATTTTATTAAAAAGGTAGAGGTAGTAAAACAAAAAAAAGCAGCATTTGTTTCTCAGATATTGTAAACTAGCACAGTATCTAACTAGCCTATCTTCTCCAATCTTCTTTGTCAGTGGGAGGGTGTACAAGAAGTTGTAAAGATTTTGTGGATTATCTCCTTCTGCTGTTAGTGCTACTCAGCAAATAGTAGGAGAAGACAATTTAGAAAGATGAAAGATTTAGTCACTTAATTCTGGTTTTATTTTTATTTGATCTGATACTGCTTTCTGTAATGGTGTATTTTGAAAGTCTGTATCCTTAAAGAGTCCTGCAGCAACAACTCTAAATGGAAGAGTTTAAGTTACTGTAGTTTAACTCCTTTGCTAAGCCTGTGGTTTTGGTTGTCCTGTTCCATTTTCTCCAGAGGTTTAGTTAGAGCTGATACACCTAGCAGAAGCTGTTGGGAACAGCAGCCAGCTTTTGCCCATGCCCAGTTAGCCTGGAAGCCAGTGACAGCCAGGTTCACATATACTTGCTCCATGCTGTCATCGGCCCCCAAGGACTGACTGGTCAGGTCTCCCAGGTACAATGTAATATTTGGCAAAGTATCTTATACAAACAAGCAGTAATATTTAGTCATCGGGCATGCTTTTTAATACTCAAATATTATTCCTAAATGTATTTTGAGAATCATCAATAAATTATCTTTGTTATAGGTCATTGATGCCTATTAATTCCATTGATGTCTACATTTTTCAAGATCTTTTCTGGAGTTAAAAATGCTTCTCAGTAAACTAGTAATTGTCTACATAAAATAACTCCACACCATCTCTTAAAAAAAAGGGGGAGGGAAGACCAAAGAAGATGGGGAGTCAGTTAATCTTCAATTCCACCCCGCAGTACTGTGAAAAACAAAATTTGTACGTGCCTATAAGATAATGAGGTAAGTAACTGCCATGAAAATAAATTACATCAAACCATTACTTTACATTTGTAACGAAGTAAAGAGGCCTGCAAAGAAAAATTATTACAGGTCTTGTAAATGCACTCTACAGTGAAAGACTGCAAAAACTTGGGGAGGCATGAAAATGGTTAACAGATATATGAAGATGACAGTAAGACATATTTTTGGTACATTTCCTGTGGATGAGAGTGCAAACAAGTTTAAATTGTACCAAATTTAGGCTAGATCAGTTTCTCCAGGAGTAAGGCTACTTAAGCGCTTGAAACAACCTACGGAAATGGTCTCTCTAAACAGTGGTCCATCTCCAAAAGATTTCAGAGGTAGGTTGAAGAAATATCTGTCATGAATTATTTCAATCCTGCCAAGACAAGGAAGATGAACGACCTTTTGTGTTCCCTTCTAGTCCTGCATTCCATGACGGATGTAAGAGGAAAGACTCCACAGGATACCCCTCCCTAAAATCAGGCTTTGTCAAGGGACCTTATGCTGGCTGCATGGAGACTTGTGAAGATGCAAGTAGACTGCAGCGAGCTGGACAAAGACTCATCAAGTGTGTAAAGGAAGAGCTGCGTAGCCAGTTTAGTAGCAAAGGGATAGCTAATTGAATTCAGTGAGATGACTCATATTGGGTAGAGTTAGGTATAAGCATAAACATACTGAAAGGGACTTACTCAGAAGATTTAAGAAACACAGGAACCAACTTTTTACTCCTTGTCTTTACATACTGTTCCTGAGAAAGCACACAGAAGTTTTTATATGCAAAAACCAAAAGACCAAATTCATGTGTGTTAATGCTATCCAGAATATACTTTCCTCCTGTGATTAGTTTTCCTTAAGATGAAAAGAAATCTTTGATTGAAATCAGGACCAAAAGGTCAAAAATGTAAAAATGTTCACAGGAAAGGAAGAATAAAACCAGCTCATTTGGAGAGAAATAAAATTTTTTGTCTTAGAACTTTGACATCCAACTCCCAGAGGTCTTAAGTTCTTAAGGAGGACAAAATACACAAATAACTATAGTTTCACAACCCAAAATGACTTTGTAAACTGAACTTTAATGCAGAGCTCTTCTTTGGGGGGGGAGGGAGAGGGAAAGGCAAATGGAAAACCCCAACATCTTGCCCACTATCAGGTGTATGGTCCTGCAAGGGTAAGCCATGAATCTTTGTATACACTGTTATTATTTGAGCTAATGGAGTTAAAACAGTTATAGGCAGCTGCACACCAAGCTGCCCGAGATGTCCACTAGGATAGAATCGTTTTCTGGAGAAATCAGTATTTTCCGTGCACTTCTTTCACCAGTTCCTATCTCAAATATCCAAACAGATTAGTCATCCTTATTTCTACTAGCACAAATAATGAATTAACTCTCACATACCTCTCCAGCTCAATCCCAAACTTATCAAGCTTGCCATTGTTTAGCCACCCTAAAATTTTTTTTGTTCAGCTTGTCTGGGTTTCCCACTCACCTCAGTTCTAATCTGGAAGTCATAGTTTCTCTTCCCTCTTCAGGCTCAGCCTTTCAAATGTTTCCGTCTGACCTAGATTTTCTTCTTCTCCACTGCAACCCTGCAACCTCCTCTTCCTGTCTACCTACATGTTAGGAAGGTGGATGAAGGTAAACACCAAATAGACAAGCATCCCATGACAGCAACCACCTTTGGAAGCGTAAGCTAATGTAAGTTCTTTTGAGCACTTCACACATTCTGGTTGATAAGTTTTTGACTGGGGGGGACGACACACGACCAACCACCCCCCCACCAAAGACCCCAGAAAAAATCCCAAACCCAAACAATTTCCCTTGCAAATTCCTGATGTAAATAGGTATATAATTACAATTTTGCCAAACTATGCAAGTGAAAGCTGGCTCTGAAAAAAATCACAAGCGCATGACCTTAGTAGGCAGGGCTACCAACTCCCCAGCACCACTCCCCAAAAAAGTCTTTCATCAGAAATGAACAGCAAATACGTTCACAGATAAGGCCAGAGGGACCACTGTAATCATCTAGCCTAACCTCCTGTATAAATATAGGCCCTAAGATATTTTGAATTAATTTGTTTTAACTAGAGCAAGTTGAAAGCTGTATTTTAATTAAGAGATAACAGACAAAATTATTCATTTTAAAAAAACAATTGGATTCTGGCTCATATATCCCTTGGTTTAAAAGCATTATGCAAAGTATTTGTCATAAAACTCCTATTAAAAAAAAAAATCTAAGTCACATATCTAAAAAAATTACATACTATTCACAGACTATAGGAATTAGAAATGAAGGGTGCTCCATACAGTATAATATGGTTTAAATATCAGCAGCATAATCTGTGATATGCAGGACATCGCTGGGAAAATTTATTAGGAAAAGAATAATCATGCTTATTGCTGTAAAATAGTCCCTTACTATCAATGGAAAAATATTTTCAAGTTTGAAAAAAGAGCAGTAGACATATTTATCCTACTGTCCAGATGAGCCCATATTTCAAATCCTTAGTCTTGGGAGGCTGTTTTTAAGTTATATTAAGCCTCTTCCAGGCCCAAATGAATGGTGATGCACTCAAAGGTCAGACATACGTTTCTCCTTTCACCAAGCTGGTGCTGGACTTGCACCAACATTCTCCAAGTTCCACTGGTATCTTCTTTTTCCAGTAACGGCAGCCAGGTGTTGCACAGGAAAGGAATATCCAGTCCAGACTTCAGTGTGTACTATGTACATCCCCTCTCAGACCTCAGAACTTTTGGTTTCTTCAGAAATCTGCATTCAGCTGCCTATCTGGACCTCAGCGAACTCTCATATAGAAAGGTTCAACCACAAGTTTGGCTTCTACTCAACAAGGAAGTGGGGTTTCTATTTATACTCTTTCCTCTTCCAGCACTTTGTTATCCTCAAGCTGTGTAGTCTCTTGATCAACAGACAGCATTTAAAAGTCTATCCCACCCTCAGTTTAAAAAATTAAAACCAATTGCAAATGTATTTTAGAGTCTTCTGTAACTTAGGTTGCCATTTGGCCTGCTCCTGTGAGAAAGTGAAGCAGGTCCAACACAGCAAGCAGCTAAGAAGCAGCAAGCTACTAAATACACGGATTTTCAAGTGTCACCTTCAGCTTCAAAAGACAGTCAGCTATTTTTCCATTATATTTTAGTTAGTTGCTTAACTCTTTGTTGCCTGCCATTATCTTCTTTATCCTGCACAGAAATGGCAAGAACAAAGAGAATTCTGCCTTCTACCTGGAAGCAAAAAGACAAAAAGTTTTAAGAGGATTAGTAGGATGTGAAAACAGGAGAGGCTGACTCTGTGGAAGCATCAAGGTTTTACTGCAGTTTCTTGCCCCTCTTTCG